CACGGTCTTCAATAGATGACCAGTATGTATACATGCACAAGGATCTGAGAGGTAGGAAATATTCCTTTATGCCCCAACCCAGACCACAGAACTGATCACCCAATCACTGCTGAACTCATGTGTTTCCTCCTTTTCCTGGGTAGAAGCAAAGAAAACACAAAAATTAAGCTGGAAATTTACTTTGTGTTATATTCCAGTGCCTGGGAGCACAGCATTCTCCCACCAACATGACAGAGCAGGTTCCAGAAAAGTTTTAGGCTGCATGAATGGAACAGACTTAAACACAGTCAGGACATAATTTCTGTAGAATTTCTTCCCAACTGTCAGCTCTGTTGGACTGTTATAAATGGTATTTCCAAAAGCCTTAGACCTCAGCAAAACATGTCTAAGTAACAGTGAAGAGATTGAAAAACCACTCCACAAAAACTCTAGTACACACTTTACTTCAACAGCACCAGAACTTATCAGCAAGTTGGTTAGTTGGGTGAGAGTTTTTCTTTGTTTTGGGGTGCCCCCTCATATTGGAGGTCTTTCCCCCGTGTTGATTTTCCAAATCAGTCAAGAGGTTTAATCAAAACTATTCCTATTTCTCTTTGATGCAGGAACTAGTATGAAATACTTCGGACATAATTTGACAACTTTTTTGCCAGTAAAAATACACAACATTAAAACAGATGTTAACCATAGATGCCAACTCTACACATAAGGAAAGAGATACAGTACAGGAAAACATCTTCAGAGTAACTTTTGCAGCTATGACTCTGTCAAGGTTTTCTGACAGTAACAAACTACCTGGCAATCAAATCATTCTGCTGTTTTAAAAGTCTCCAGAAATTAGATACGTTCTACAGCAATGAATTCCAAGTACTTTACGATAGTAAAGATACACTTGCAACTCTCCTCTCACATGCACAGCTTTCACTGCAACATCTACCTAAAATGTCTTTATTAAAATGCAACTACAGCATTACATTCTCAAATAGGCTTCTATAAAGTTTCATTCTTGCTTTAGAAGTTTAATAGGTAATAAAATGTTATAGGTAAAGCAGCCTCAGATACCACAGCAATGAGAATCATGCTTGCCACCTTTGTATTAAAGATGCACAGTAACATGAACCTAAGAAAAAAAACCCCTACAGTTAAGATCTTAAATTATCATTAGTCATCTAATAAAACACATAAACCAATGACTTCCCATGAAACTGTGGAGACAACAAGTCTCCTGAAGTTGTACACAAAACTAAACAATACTGAATATGAAATCATTTTCTGTAAATGACAAGTTATGAGAACAAAATCTGTATGCTAGTAACATCAGTTCTGCCAGGGTCTGATGACAATTAACTAGGTACACCAATTTTAGTTTAAAACAAAACTCTCATGCACTAAAATGAGAAAATGTCAGTATCTTGATACAGGCATTGTGTAGTAAACTCTCAATTTACTACTCAGGGAGACTCAAACAGATTCAGATTAAGCAAACTGATCCTCAAAAGCAACAATGTTAGCTAAACTCAGCTCTCTACAGATTAGTGTTCAACACCCACACAGCCTAATTACAGTGAATTCAGCTTGTTGACTACCTTACATGTTTCCACAGTACTCCCAAGCTCCTCTTGAGCTCTCTTTTTTTGCAAAACCCCTAGTTTCTTCCTACAATAAAACTCTTACATTCTCATCTCACTCAGCAAAGAAGAGTGATATACTGTTGCTTATACAAGTTGCAAGCTGAACAGATCTCAAGCTATTGCCACACAACAGAAAACATCCTTCCCTCACTGTGGACAGCTAACAAATACCTACTATACCTAAACTGTTTTTCATAAAGCTTATAGAAACGTATCTTCAGAGACATGAAAAATCTAAGCTTGGTTAAAACTGCCCAACATGTTCCGCATTTGTATAGGCAGTAGATGAAAGCACTGCAGATCAAAACTACGTTATTTCCTTAAAAAAAGACTTTATGTCAGAAGAAAATTCCAAGTACAATCAACAGATTTAACTCAGAGCTCAAAGTCAGAAAATTAAAAACGAACATTAAAAGAACATTTCTGGAAGGCTAAGATATTCACCCGTCAGTCTGGCAAAAGCTTCAGAGTAAGTAGAGACATTCTGTCTTCCTGTTACCAGTAAAATTCTTCTCTGCCTGTTTAATGTTAACTGTAAATTCAAGTTTCATCATTTGTTATCTCTCCACATTTAGAGATGCCTCAGCCCCTAGCAGCAAACGTTAAACAGACATAAAAACTGAGCAACCTGCTCCTGGAATATTGTATGAAATGAATGAGCAGCAAATGTTTGGCGCAATCTTCAATAAAAAGAGAAAGAAACATATTTATACTGTACGTTGTTGGGTTTTTTTTTTCAGAAGCCAGTGTTTGTAAAGCACAAGTTACAAATACTAATGGTCAAGGTTAAAGTGAAACATGTCTCACATGACCCTTACAGCAATCATGTCCCTGACTACAACTTCTACAATATTATTTATTACATTTTCCCAAGATTACTGCAGAATTTAAGATATCTGTATTTATATGGACATTATCTACATATAATCTGACATCAACAATAATAATAAAATTTTAAGTTAATTATGTACTTCATTTTAAGCTAGTGGAAATCCTCTAAAACAAGTGTGAGTATCTTTCTAAAACTGCTCTGTATCATTAAAAACTTGGAAACATGAAAAGTCTTTCATATCTTCACATACAGAAATGCAAGTTGCTCCATTTAAATCTAGACATAAATTTGGATATAAATATGGACGGGCACAGACTTCGCTGGGTAAAAAACTGGCTGGATGGTTGGGCCCAAAGAGTTGTGGTGAATGGAGTTAAATCCAGTTGGCGGCCGGTCACGAGTGGTGTCCCCCAGGGCTCCGTTTTGGGGCCACTCCTGTTTAACATCTTTATTGATGATCTAGACCAGGGGATCGAGTGCACCCTCAGTCAGTTTGCAGATGACCCCAAGTTGGGTGGGAGTGTTGACCTGCTCGCGGGTAGGGAGGCTCTGCAGAGAGACCTGGACAGGCTGGAGCCATGGGCTGAGGCTAACTGCAGGAGTTTCCATAAGGCCAAATGCCGGGGGCTGCCCTTGGGCCACAACAACCCCCAGCAGCGCTACAGGCTTGGGGAGGAGTGGCTGGAGAGCTGCCAGTCAGAGAGGGACCTGGGGGTGTTGACTGACAGCCGGCTGAACAGGAGCCAGCAGTGTGCCCAGGGGGCCAAGAAGGCCAATGGCATCCTGGCTTGTGTCAGCAATAGCGTGGCCAGCAGGGACAGGGAAGGGATCTGACCCCTGTACTCGGCACTGCTGAGGCCACACCTCGATGGCTGTGTTCAGTTTTGGGTCCCTCACTCCAAAAATGACATTGAATGACTCGAGCATGTCCAGAGAAGGGCAATGAAGCTGGTGCAGGGTCTGGAGCACAGGTTGCACGAGGAGCGGCTGAAGGAACTGGGGGTGTTTAGTCTGGAGAAAAGGAGGCTGAGGGGAGACCTCATCGCCCTCTACAGCTGAATTGCTGGGGATGAGTCTCTTTAAGGAAGTAACAAGCAGTAGGACAAGAGGTGATTGCCTCAAGTTGCACCAGGGAAGGTTTAGACTAGATATTAGGAAGTATTTCTTTCCAAAACAGGTTTTTAGGCTTTGGACTGGGCTACCCAGGGCAGTGGTGGAGTCCCCATCCCTGGAGGAGTTTAAGAGTCGGGCTGACATAGCGCTGAGGGATATGGTGTATTTGGGAACTGTCAGTGTTAGGTTAATGGTTGGACTAGATGATCTTCAAGGTCTTTTCCAACCTAGATGATTCTGTAATTCAGCAAAACGTTCAGAGCCTTAAACACAGAAAGGTTCTAGGTTGCAAAGGTATGTCCTACCCTGGACTAAACCACAAATTTCAGCATCACAAAAGTAATCTGCCAAAAAACCTATGCACCCTTCTGAAGAAATGAACATTTACCAGGTAATTAACACCTCAAGCCAAAAGACAAACTGAACCAAAAAGAACAGTTTTAAAGCTACAATACAATCTAACCCTGAAATTTAATTTTAAAAAATGCAACTAGACAATATAATGGGTCAGCATGGCAGCTCTCTTCTCCTGCTCCATCTGGCCACAGGTACCTGCTCCTCCTTTTCCTTACTTTAGGCCAGCCTCAGCACTCAAACAGCTCTATAAAACCATCAGACTCACTAACCTCGTAGAAAATTCACAGTTAACAGGAACTAGCTACTGAACAGAAGCCGAATCAACTAGGTGGATAATAAAAAGGACAGATACAGAGTAAGTGTAGAGGTACAAAACTACACAGCCAGGAATGGGGCAGGGGAAGAAACACCTGGCAGTAGAGAGGACGACCTTCCCAACAGCCTGCAACATGATTTAAGTGACCACTGTTTTGTGGTAGGTTTAGTGCATCTCTCAAGACAGCCCACTTGTTCTCCGCAACCTCCATAAGTTAACTGCCATCACCATTAACTATGCTTCTGTTGGAAGCTGTTACATCTACTTTCTGTTATTGTACAGTGTCTACTGAATAGAGCATGGCAGCTCAGGAATTACTCAAAAAACAGATTACAGGAAAGTGTAACAAACCACAATTTAAACTGGAATCTAGGCCCTGATTGTCATAAAACTTGTCTGCATTTCTGCACCATTCAAGAGGACATTATCCTCCTTTGTTACAGTCCATATTCTGTCTTAATCAAAAATAACATAACTTAAACATGTGGTTGATGAAGAGTATAAACTCCTACATGGGTAATTACAACCATGCAATCTTGAAAAAAATCCTTCCTAGGAAAATGACATTAAATTATTAACACATTTTAGTTAAGTAAATCAGTTATTAAAAAAGCTTTCCTATGTTAGAAGTTAAACAGGCTTACTAGTAAGTTTAGAGAGATCAAACAACAGGAAAACACTGCTGTAATTACTTTAGTGATGTTCTACACAGCCACATTAAGTAAAAAACCCACCTGAAATACTCAAATCTTACCTGTGTGTCTGTCATGGACTGCTGTGACGTACAGTTATCTGAGTTAACTTTTTTCAAAGACAGTTCTGACTGATCAGTATGTCTCCTCCCATTCTGAACTCCACTGCGCAAGGAAGCAATAGGATACTAGACACCCAAATAGCTTTAAACAAGCAAAAGTGGATATTATCTATTTTGCATTATAAAGCTTTCCTAAAATGCATGCTGAGCTTTTACACCTAGATATACTAAAAAATCAGAGAAAGAAGAGTGGATGAGGGTAACTACAGTGAAATATGTTCAAACCAAAATGTTAATTAAACATGCAATAGTATGCATAAAGAATGCACTAGTAAACACATTTGTAATATTCTCAAAACATTGCATATTTAATATTTACAAATATTCTCTGTACCTTTTCTTAAAAAGAAACCTTCTACTCATTCATTTAAGGTAATGAACATATTTATTGAACACTAGAACTAAATATAACAAGTGAGCTAAATGTGATCAAAATGAATTCATCTATATTTTTTGAACATAGCTGTGTACTTTACTACTTCAGTTTTAGAACTTCCTTTGAAATTACTGCTTTCAGAAAGCTGTCCAAGTAGCCAAAACCCAAATCAATTCTACAGCATGGACTGGTGTGTAATGTCTCTTCTACATTCTCCCTAAGCTAAAGAGGAGACATTAAATTATAAGTGGCTTACCTAAGATCACATGGAGAGACAGATGTTCTAGTCACTCTCTTTATCTGTGATCATCAGCCCAGCTTTTAACCACTTTCTTACTAGTCTGCTTTTACTTACACAACTAATTATCTTAAACACATTTTTCTTCACTAAACTGTTTCAGCTGTGGCCCACAATCTCCTAGAGCCCCAGTGACAATGTCTAGGAGGCTACTCAGAAAATCAAGCTCAGCAGCAGGCTTGATGTCAGCAGGCTTGATGTCACTGCATTGGTTCTGCATCAGCACTGAAGAAGCAATGAAATAATCTGCACAGAAAAAAAAGAAAAATAAAAAAAATCTCAAATTAAGGATTGCCAGAAAGTATACAACAATTAGATAAAAATTACTTTTTTTTATCTTTTAATACATCAAGGAAAGCAATTATACAGAAGTCTCAAAACACTTTTTGAAAGAATGTTAAAGGCCCAGAAGCAAAACCAACAATGTTATAATTCTTATCCTTTTGCCTACTCCTCCAATGCACTTTTAGTTGCTCCTTGGAAATATATCATCCCATTTTAATTACTAAACAACCTCCAGATATCATAATCAGTTTAAGAAGATCTAAACAGAGTTTGCTGCTGAAAAGCACTTGTCCCACTCTTTCTCTAAACACTGGGTCAGCCTCTTTTGTTAATACAGCTATGGGTGTGCTAGGCAGGACTCACTGAAAATTCCTTCAATTAGTTTTCAACTTAGTCAGTGACCTTAAACTGTGAAGAAGTACCCCCCAAACTCCTTTACAACTTCGTTCTGCCTGTGTTTTCTGTGTACCTTTGAATTACTACTTTGTTGTATGCCATTCCAAAACAATCAGTTCAAAGTGAAAACCTAAAGAACAAGAAGCAGCTGTATGCTTTGTTTACATCAGAGTGAAAAAAAAAATATTAGCTGGTATGATTTAAGAAAAGCTAGACAGAGATAGTGAATACAACCGATCTTTAGAAATTGGGTTTTGTAATTACAAGATACTAGAGAAAATTTATTAATCATGCCACTTTCCCTATTCCTCACACTTAATCTATTGTCTCAAATTCATAACTACAACACCAGTAGACTTCCCAAGACTTTATTAAATAGTTTTAAGAGAAAAACTGTTACAAATGCACTTAACTTTGATACCTCTAATCACAGAACTGCTGCATTGTCACTACTAAAGCATGAACAACCCTATTTTCATAGGACACACTTTGCAGGTGCGACACTAAATTTTGATACAATGCATCAGCTTTAAAAATATATTTAATTATAAAACTATTTAAAAGTAAATAATTACCACAGGAAGTAAATTCAGACTTGTTAATCGTACATGCATAAACTGGACAAGGAAAAACTCTTGCAGGTTCAGTGACTTTTTTTGTTAGGGATGAACATAAATATTATTGAAACAGGGCCTGCAAATCTTCCAAACAAACAGGTTGAATGTTGTAACTAACCGTGAACATCTTTATCTTGATCACACAGAAAAAGGACTTACAGAAGTCATGATGTATCTCTATCAGAATTAGTACTATACGTTCAGAAATTCATTTACAATAGATCTATTTGATCAGAAGTACAGTAATAAAACAAAAAGATTCATTTCATTAGCTGAAAGTAATTCTCAGCTGATGAACTAGTCTGCTGTTTGCCAGGTAATTTCTCTATTTCAAGCCAGCACAATAAAATACCACTTATTTCTATTGCAAATACTGTTTCATTTGTTGAAACTTCTCCATTCAAAGCAAACTGACAAAAGGATGTTGAAATCAGTAAAAGACATCTCCAAAAATATAATTAACAAAGAAACCTCTATCTCATCTTTTCCCTTCGAAAGGAAAACTGCATTACTCCCATCTTGAATTTCAATATCCTAACAGAGCTCAGACTAAAATGCATCTGCTAGACATTTATTACTGTTCAGAAAAGGTATGAGTCTACAGTGCAGGTGAACTGTTTAGCCTTACAATTAGTCACAACCCAGGTAGCAACACTTAATACACTTGACAGTGTGCTTCACATATCATGCTTAAGAATATGCAAAACAAAGGACAGTTTTGCACACTATGTATTTGTAACTACATACGTACTTACAGAAGATCTTACATACAGAATGTATTAGAAAACAAAAATCTTCGACCGTATTGCAACTCGTCTTACACACAGGCCGTCTCACTTTAACATTCTCTGAGGGTTTGCCAGCAAAGTCAACAAAAGAAGCCTGAAAATAAGCTCTGTAAAAGTTTCAGAACAATCCCTTGAAACATCACGCTTAAAGATTTTAATGAATCAAACAAACCCACTACATTCAGAGTGTGTTTGTAAGTAATTAAAAAAAAAAAAAAAAAAAAAAAAAAAAAAAAAAAAAAAAAAAAA